AAATCTATATAAAGAATAATATCTCTTAATTTTGTTTTGTGTTATTACGTTGTTATAGAGCAATTGCGCAGAGCGTTGGGTCAAGTTGGGTGGGGTGGCCGGATGACTGATCTGGCCGGATGACTGATCCTTAACGTTACTGGCTTCAGCTGACTAAGGCTGGATGCCTTGCGCCCTCACTACCAACCACTTGTCAACAAAACACCACGGACGATCGACATGCTGTTTGCTTTTGCCCTTCCCATGGTCATTTTCTTTGCACATCGACCACCCCATCGCTCCCGCGCAAAAGCACAATCTCCGCACCCGCCTTGAACGTGCACATTCTCCACTCTAAACCTAAATGCTAGGCTACATCTCCTCAACACGTAAAAAGAGTTGCACGGCTTGCGTAAAGGCCAAGCGGCGCTGCGACCTGGGCTACCCCTTTTGCAAACGATGCTTTGTCAAGGGCCTCGACTGCGCATATCCCACTCCACCTAAAACGCCTGTTTCGGTCCGCGACACTGAGATTGTTATCAGACACACTGACACACCACCACGCGACTCCAGCCAGCCTGCAACTGCAACTATCGCTTCCGCTTCCGCTACCGCTGCAACTAACGCGGCCACAAGCGTAGAGCCGGACTGCGACTTCGGTAGCCCCCGTGTCAACCACACTCAGGAACTTGGCGGCCATGCAGCTCGCGATCCGTGGATAGTATTAAGGCGCGACGGCGGCGAGTCGAGCGAATCCGACGAGGCCTCGTTGTCGTCGTCGTCGGAGTCGAGTCCAGAGGTGTGGATGGGACATGACAATTCGTTGACGGCGCGACTGCCGCTACGCAGGACCTTGCTACCCACCGTAGTCGTGCCTGTGCTGCTCAACGAGCAGCAGAGTACCTTCGTCATCGAAGGGCTGTGCTCGCTCGTCACTAGCATGGCGTGTTCGGGTACAACGCATTTCTTGCATCGCAATCTGTTTGCCGATCACGATCAGCCCGTGGCATATCAGGATTGCGTTGCCTTATCTGCACTCTACATGGCCCAGAATGCAAGCTACACTGGTAATATCCTAGTCAATAGTATCAACGCCAAGATCGCTGCCTTGGTGAAAGAGGCGCCGACTTGGTCGTTGATGCAGCATCTAGCGGCTGTGCAGGCGCTCATCATTTATCAGATTATCCGTTTGTTTGATCCCATTCTGGGTGCGCAGGAACAGGCTGTCAAGCATAATGTGCTGCTTGAACAATGGGCTACAAGTCTTTTTCATCGCTCTTGTTATGACATGCCGTTTTTTGCGGATGAGCGCTCGCGTTGGGTCTTTACTGAGTCGCTACGACGCACCTTATTCATGGCCGTGTTTACGCGATGCTCATGGAGTGTGTTCACATGTGGCGGGCTTGCGAGTCAAGTCCATGTGTTGGCTGGTATGCCGCTGACAAAGGATTTGGGGAGATGGAGTCAAGAAGAAGATAAAGCGCTGTGTCAGGGCGAGAGCATGCAGAGTCAAGAGCAAGAGTTGATTTCTTATGTCGACATGTCGGTGGATTGGTCACATGACAAGTCTGTCGAGGAGCTGGGGTCTTTTGGCCAATTACTTCTCGTGCCTTGTCGTGGTCGTGATGACGTGAGATTGTTGGGGTGAAGTTGCCCACTGCTGGCTTCACGCCTCAAACTCCTCTTTGTACGCCAAACTCCAAAAGTCGACGACAAACTCCCCACCTTCATGTAGCAAGTCTAGAAAGGCTGGATGTTTCCCAAAAGTCGTCACCTCACATACAATGTACTCGAGCACTAGCTGCCTCAATTCGTCCTTTGTGCCGTCGTCCTTCCTGTCGTCGCCCTGCCTATATGCATATCTTGCGAGCTCAACAATATCACTTGCGCGTCGCATATAAAGCTGGAAGCCGACTAGCGTCTGGTGGAGCTTGTGTAGTGTCAAGCGTTTGAGCGGGTCGACTCCACGCATACAAGCAAATGTGTATAGTCGTGCGTGTGCTAGGAAGACTGGTGTAAAATCCTGATCGACCGCGGTGTTATACTGGGGCTTGAAAGCCGCAAGCATGGCTGCTTGAGGTTCGCTTGAGGTGAGGTAACTGAGCTTGTTGAAACCAGCGCGTAGATTCACTACGCCTTCAGGTTTGGACTTCTTCTTCTTCTTACTGATCTTATCGCTGCCCCAGTTCTCCCATCTGTTTTCTAGTGATGGTTGACCAAGCCGGGATGTTGAAGAAGGCTGGCGATGTGGGTCTATTAAAATAGGGCCAATATCAACTATTGACCGAGTTATTGGCTCTCTGATTGCGATCACAGTCTCTTGGACAGGCAACGCCTGATCTTCCATATGCGTTTTTTCATGCACCCACGACGGGGTAGTATAATCATGGCGATATGCATACTCGACAAAGCGGGCAAAGTCTTCAGGTTCAATGTCGGTGTACTCCACCGTTCTCTCACGCGACTCTGCCATGCCATTATTCATAAGCGCCCAAAAATACGCAGACTTTGTGGCGACGGCTTTGGAATGCACTGCAATACTTTTCTTTCCGTCACCTTTGCCGACATTGAATATAAAGAGCTCGGATTGAATCATTCTGTCAGAAATCGGATGTCAGCAAGCTAGTCGCATGGGTTGCGTTGCTATACGCACTCCTCAAATGAGCACAAGCTGGATGCTTCGCTCATCTTCGCTGCTATCACGATTGTTGAGTTGTACGAGTTGTTTGTAGATTCCAGGAATTGTATTACATGCTCAAGATATAAGCGCTCAAGGCGGGGTTGCACAGCCCAGCCTGATGTGAACAGCGCGCGTGTGGTGTAACACTGCATGATCTTCCTCTCTGTGGCGTCCAGTCATGTTCGCTAAATGTATGGTTATCTGTAATGCGCCGCATCCAAGCATGCCACTTCATACAATAAAGCAGATAGCCGTATGATGATCGTGATTTGTTCAAGAGATATTTTCGGCAAATGTGATTCTTTCTCTGCCCAGTCCCAACCATGTGACATAGCCTGGCCGTGAAAATAGAAATCTCAAAGTCATGTATATTAATTGAAGAATTAGTTCGTTCATACGCAGATATCTATATCAACCCAGGAAGGACAGGAAAACATTGTGATAGGACCTTCTGGCACGCAGTCGGGGTGAACGATAACGCACTGAGCTCACTAAGGACGACAAGAGGGTAGAAGATCTAAATTCAGTCATAGTCAGCACATGTCTTACCTGACCATTCCCAAAGGTACACCGTTAAACTTACATCCCTTCAGTCTACAGTGAATGTCAGGATAGCAACCGCAGCGATAGAATGCCGTCCAACTTTACCCAAATTCGGCTTCGCAAACAGTTGTGTGGCTACCTGTGTAATGTAGGCTGAGACCTGACAAGAAACCCAATTAAGACCCTGTCTTTACTGGTCATCTTTCCTGGATGCGATTCAAAAGTTTGCAAAGAATAGGGATTTGCGCTTGAGGGGGGATAAGACTCATTAAGTACAGAAGAAATCAACTGAATTATCAGATATCCGTTCTACCTCCACTATCGAAGTACCACTCCTCACTTTCGAGTTATAGTTGCTACTTATATGCACTGTGATATTCTCCTTTAGCAGCCAGCGTGGCTTAATACACAATACGCTCACTCGATGCTAGAAAATCTACATATCTGAAAATCTACGGTATATTTGTGTTACGTTCGAACAAGATTGCTTCTACGCCTATTTGTCTTACTCCACTTTAACATAGAACGTTTCGGAACAATATATTTGGTATTTGAGGATTAATTGCAGCGGCAAGCCAAAGAGCTGTAGAGCATCAATCAAGCTGTGAAGAGTTGTGTTGAGAGTGCTGTCGATCAAAATACATTGAATCTCAATTTCAATCAACAATCTACGACTGATACCTAATAGGAACGATACTGGGCCAATGCCTGGCATAAAATATTTTCTACAGTACATCTGGCTAGAAAGATGGTCCAGCTAGCGTTGATCTCATTAATCTGGTGTCTACGCTCGATCCGTCCTAACTCGTACTAGTGCGTGATTACCTAGCCACCTTCTCAGGGCATTTCTGAGCAGGCTTCAGTGGTCTGCATCCTGGCCCCTCGAAAAAAAAACAGGGTTCGTCTACTGCGTCATTTGCATTCTGACAAGAAAGAGTGCGCGGGATGTGATACAAGGGGTTCCATGTTCGTCAAGCCACCCGCCAGCGAATCGTGGGCTGCAGTCATGATGATGTGCGACCACATACGTCACCGTTCCAATGAAATGGTAGAGACTCTAGTCCGTCTACTATATGCCGTTTGAAACCTACACAAGACCAAAAGCAAGATACACTAACGGCCGTTGCCACTTCTATCTACATCCTGTTTTTTTTCTTGCTGGCTTACGCTGCTGGCTCATACAAATTTATTCAAGACGGCGCCCCAGGTCCCTTCTCGTCGCGCGCTCGCTGGAATCGCGCTTGTTTCTGTGTTATCGGCAGTGGAAAAGCATCGGAAAAAGAAAAGAGAAAGTGCAGACGGACACGATTTTACGACTACAGAAGATATGTCGGGGGAACTTCAGACTATACCTGCGCGCCATGGGGCTGCGACTTTTGTGCCTCGAGGCAGGACGATCAAGGTCATTAATACGTATGGGAAGCAGGTAGTCAGTATGTGGGCTTTCACGTTGGGCCCGCCGCCTGAAGAGGGGGAGGGGGAGGAGTTGAGTGAGGAGGAAGTCAAGAAGGAGGCAGAGGAGATAAAGAGGGTGGTTGAAGAAGGCGAGAAGAAGGAGGAAGAGACAATAAAGGAAGATAAGGAGATCAAGAAGGAAGGTGGAGAGGGTGAAAGTGAGGAGAAGAAAGAGAGCAAGGACGGCGAAAGTGGGAAGAAGAAAGAGACTAAAGACGGCGAGAAGGAGACACAGTCGAGTGAGGATACCACCAATGGAACAAGTCAAGACACTCCAACTCCGCCTGAAAAAGCGCCAGATACCCCCGAGAATGAAAAGACGACGGAATCAACCGAGCCATCATCTAAGCAACCCCCTAAGCGCACTTGGGCGTCCTACCTCCCTTCGATCCCCTATCGCAACAAAGGCGCAGCAAACAAGCAAGAGACGGAACAAAAGCCCAGTGCTGAGCAAGTCAAGAAACAGAATGAGGAGAACACTAAGAAATGGTCGTCATATCTACCTACAGGCAAGAGTTTCTCAAGCTACGTGCCCAACGTTCCGAACGTGGAAGTCCCAGACTCCAAGTCTGTCATAAGCGCATTCAAGTCAAGTCACTACCGCGATCCAAACAAGAGCTATGCAGAGCAACTGTACGACTTTTCCAAGACACCTGTGGGCGCGGGAACAATGGCCGGTACGTTAGCAGAATTGAAAGATACCATGAAAACATACTGACTCTTCATAGCTGCCACCGGTTCTGGCTACGCATCCTCTGTCTATGCCGCCTACTCAGCCTACGCCTCCATGCACCCCTCCAACGCCTCCCAACCCCCTATGGAATACCTCTCCCTCCCCCACACCCGCACCGCCTCGCACAAGCTCGTGCCAGAAGTCAACGACGAGTTGCTAACCAACCTCCGCAACCCCATCCTCACCCTCATCGAAGACACCTCCCCCGGCGCCCACGACACCCTCACCGCCGCCTGCGACGCCAACCAGTACGCCGCACTCGGCATCGACAAGCCCGCCGAACACGGCAGCTGCGCCGAGAATCTCGTCCTCGCCCTCAAAGAAATAAACGAGACGTCTGGCCTCAAAGGTGCAAAAGCGGTTGGCGCTGATATTACTGTTAACATTGCACCGACGCCCCTCCACCTCTTTATGAATGCGCCGCTGCATGCTGAGGGCGATATCCACGATGATGGTGCAGGCGCAAAGGGTGTCACGCTTAGTGTTGAGGAGCCGCAGGGGAAGAAGAGGTGTTATGTTCGGTTTAGGGCTGAGCGGGATGTTGTGGTGGTATTTAGTGCCTGCCCGATGGATGTGGGCAAGCAGAATGGGGGGAGGTGTATGGCGAGTAATTTTATGGTGGAGGAGGTCAAGGAGGGGGAGGAGGGGAAGAAAGGGGAAGGGAAGGTGGATGTAAAGGAGGAGGAGGAGAAGGAGAAAGAGAGGCTGAGTGAGGAGCCCAAGCCTAAGAAGAAGCCCAAGAAACTTGAGGTGAGGAGCCAGTCTGCTGCTCCTGTGTCGTCGTAGTATGTGGTTTAATGGTGTAGTTTAATACTTCTTTTTTGGCTTTTTGACATGTTTTTTTTGAATCTTTTCTGAGGCAATGAAGAAGACTTATTGTAATGCAAGACTAGAATTCTTTGAAATACACACTAGCCCAATAAATCACTTTCAAAAGAGAGCATTCCGTACTTGACCATGATATCGTTTAAAAGACTCAAACACAAACATGCATATACGAAGAGGAAATCTATTACTTCAGCACGCAGTCAGAATCCTCCCAACTGCCTGCCTATTAACCCACCTAGACCTCCCTATTCCCCCCTTTCCCCCATCCTACAAAACGCCAAAATCCACTTTTTGTTTTTCTCTCTCTCTCCTATCCCTTCCTTAGCCTCCCGTATCGCAAAATCAAAATTACTCATTACTATACGGATTCATGTCTGATCCCAACCTCCCATTCCAAATGTAATTCTCGCCGCCGGTAGTATTCCTCGTCCCCTGAATAGCCTGCTGCGCATCCTGACTCGCGCGGGAACGCAGGTAGTTTGTGTATTCTGCCACGCGCTGGTTGCGGACTTGCCACTCGAGCATGATGTCGAGGTCGGTGGGGTATGTGGGTGAGGAGTGCTCGGTGTGGATGGCTGCGGAGTGCTCTTGGTAGTATGCATTGGCCTGGTGGAGTTGGGCGTGGTGGACAGGGGCGTGGTGAGCGAAGGGTTGATCCAGAGATATCTGCTGTTCGGTGCGCAAGGCCATATCGTAAGACGGCCGCTCAACGTGATTCTGCTCGGGGAACTGGATCGTGTCGATGTCGACGTCTATCTCACTCTTCGGCTCCAAACACTCGCCTCCAACTTTCTCTTCTGACTCTTCCTTCCCAGTCTTAGCCATGGCTATCACCCTCTCACTCTCTACCTTCTCTGCGTCCAGCAAAGAACGATACCTCCCCTCCAAATACACCGCCACCATCGCCGGCGCCCAACCCCTCACAAACCGCATCCCCTCAACCCCCGTATATACATCTTCCCCGTACAATCCCGCTAACTGCGCCCTCGCATCGGCTATATCCAACTCATCTGCTTCTACTTGCCTCACAATCTCGTCGCGGATAGCCCTAACGCGAGCTTCCCGCACCGCATCGTCGAGCGCCTTGGCACACGCTGCGTCGTTGAAGAAGGACCAGTACGCCGTTAGGCTCTCATGTAGGGAAGACAAGGTGGGACCGCACGGGCAGGCAAGGTCAGCGGGTGTGTTGAAGCCGCTTTGGAGGCGGATGGTGAGGAGATGGTGGAGTTCTTGCATTAAAGAGAGAGTGGCGTAGTAGAGGTCTTCGAAGTCGGCCAAGGAGCGTTTGTGAGCTGATTTGTCGGAGCGAAGATGGATTTGGGATTGAGTGTGTCCATGAGTCTGGAAGTTGGTCGGGAGGCGACTAGGAGGGAGTTGGCCGTTTTGCAGGCGGATGTAGAGAGTACTGAAACTTGGGGTGTAGGGGTCGTTGGAAGGCTTTCCGAAGAGAGTGCTCGTGCTGGTGATGTTGATGAGGTAGCTGCTTAGTTTGAGGATGTGCGAGATGAAGTGGGCGGCTGGGCAGGAAGATGTTGCTGCTTGTACAGCTTCCTGTGTGACTGCTGGTGGGAATGGTGGGATGGAAGTGGTGACAGACATTGTTGGAGACTGTTGCTGAAGTTTGTAACTTGAAAGATATGAATTTTCAAATCAACTGAGTACCAATTTCAAGGTTGTATAAAGAGGTATAGTAGAGAGCTTAATGGAGTGGAGAGTACTCCTATTGTTGAGGGATTTGTATCCTCGAAAATACTGTGGCCGTAAAATTTTCATGATGAAGGAGGCTGGGAGTGAGGGTGAGGATAGTTTCCTGAGTTTCTCGAAGTGAGTCGATTGAGCACTGTCGTGGTGTTGGTATTGTCTCTATTGTGTTGTGAACAATAGGTGTGAGGGTGAGAAAGCCGGCTTAGACGAGAACACTGTAAACAGTGACCGGAGTTTGGTCATTGCCAACTGGGTGCTGTAGGCATCACTACATTTACATGTAATAAAATTACTACAGTATGCAAGAGCTCTTCATTCCGAAATTCGAATCTCCTCAACAAAGACTAAATAGGGTTAGCTTTCAATATTCGCTCCAGTGCGGAGGGTGAAGGGACGAATTCATACTCACTGTTTGTCCTGCAGTGAAATCACGCCCCACTTTATACTGACACATACTGCGCCACCTGGCCGACTCCCATGAAGTGTGTGAACATCGTATGCACGGTGTATCGTTGTAAGCACTTGTTCCAAGCCAAAGTAATGGGTTGCGAATTCCTTGTCGATAGACTTTTCCGAATAAGCGTTCAAGTTACAAGCCATGTACATTCCGCGGTTGGCGAGGCTTAAATCATTGTCCAGTATCACGCTCCTGTTTTTGAAAGTCTTACATAACCTCCGATATGAAGATATACGTGGAAAATATTTACAGCTCTACAATCCAATTAGTAAAGTCTCATAGCACTAGCGATACGAAGCTCTGCATTACTCCAATACCTTCTAATCCCCATCCCACTCAACCGGTTTTCTTAACAACAGCAAGTTTCGACCTAACAGGAACATTATGCTCCACATCCTGCGTATCCGGAAAACCTTCCAACTCTACTCCCTTCCTGAAAATCAAGCAATGCGTACTCCCTCCATAATGAAACATGCCAATCTGATCTCCCTTCTCAACACGCTCCCCTTCCTTGACTGTGATCTCGCATGTAGACACTTCCGTCATACCAATCCCCATAAAGCATACGAGGCCCAGATCGGAATTATCTGCCTCGATAAAAATGATTGCTCGTATAGCCGTCGCAGTAAGATATCCCTGGCCTGTTTTCTCGCCGTCCTCGCTAATGCCTCCCTTGTTGGAAGGATCACCGAGACCCTCGAACAGTGGTTCGGAAAAGTAGGTGCCTTCGACAAGATACGCTTTCTTGATCGTGCCGCTGACGGGCGCATGCCACCGGTGGTAACTCAGCGCGGAAAGGAAAGCTTGGTATATTGTTCCGCCGATGAATTGCTTGTGCAGGGGGTCCATGGCGAGCATGTCCATGAGCGAGTAGGGTTGGCCTTTGATCCAGAATCGGTCGCGTTGTGCGACGTCGCGGCCCACTTTGTACGGTTTTGACTCGCAGGCGTTTGCGATGACGCAATTGTCGTCTGGGCTGGCGACAGGGCGCTTGTCTGAGTGAAAGAGGCGGGTGAAGAAGTGGTCCCAGGAGGTGTAGCCGTAGTGCTTCTTTTTCGGATCGCATTGGAAGAGCTCGTCGAATTTGTGGGAAGAGCGGCCCACGTTCGCGGTTAGTTCGAGATCGTGTATGCCGTGCTCACTGAACCAGCCGATCTGGTTGTTATCTAGCACGTATGCTGAGTCTGGTGAGGCGAGGAAATCGGCCCATGCACCCAGGACTTTTTTGATCATCTTGTTGACTTCTGGGTCGAGGAAGAAGGCGAAGCCGGATGGTGTGCCCTAACGGTAGGAAACGGATATGTTAGTTCACCTCGTATATTTAGATGCATCCGTTGTACTCACCATAGGCCAGTCCAGAATAGCATTGAATGGCGTCCCGACCACACCAACTGAATAATCATGATCGCTCCACTCAGGCGCCGTAGTAAGAATGTGATTGAAAAGTTCCAACATATGGTGATAATCACGAACTTGCCTGTGGCCGCTCGGATCTCTTTTGTACGGCTTCTTGACAGGTATCTCTTCGAACATGGAGTTGACGAGAATGTAGATGCGCGTGTTTTTCTCAATCAAATCTTTGAATTCCTGGATGACTGGATGGAGATCTTTTGGGTTGCTTTCCACCTTTTCTATGATGCCCCCAAGCCATTTCCTATGCACGCGGTGGTCAGATGGCAGCCATGAGCCGGTGCGGTGCATCTGGTGCTCTTCGGGAGCATTTTTTGTATCTTCCTGGTGCGACATGGTTGCGAGCAATGTGATTGTGGATGATAGACTTCTTGGCAGGATTATGGTGTTCCGATGACGCCGACTTTAAGTGATTTGATAGGGTCACCTAGCATCGTCGTTCATACATCATAAGTACGAAGCAATTTGATAATACCGTACAAAGAGGAGTATGTCCACCCAGGCAGTGGCGCTTCAACCTAGTCTTCAGATGTGAATAGACTTGCGCTGGCAAACATTGGGGAGCATATGGGCGGGGAAAGGGTGGGGAAGAAATTTGCTACTTAATCCTCATTAGGGTAGGACAAGGCTACTTCCCTGTGCTCAATACAGCTGCCTGGCTCTGAAATGATGCTCATATTCATGGTGGCTTTCTATTTACTAAGAACATCATGATCTCAATAACATAACTTAGCCGTCTCTATGCCATCGGTGACTTCGTGACCAAACCAAAATGCTTTCATTGGCAGAGGCTCAATTGAGATCTTTGACAACCACATACTCTTTCACATGATTTACCAGAAGATACTCCCATGAATCAGCGGCCGCCGCCACTCGTAATATCACCGATCTTCTCAAGTCTTCTCACCTACTGATGCTTTTTTAAAAACGTCAGCGCTGCAACAACATACCCTTCTATGCCAACAGTAAGAGTAGGCTGAACGACGGGCGCAAAAAACGGACTATGGTTTCCAGGGATATCCTCACTCATCCTGTCCTCGGCCTCCGCTTTATCCCATACCTTGGGATCTATTCCTCCATATAGGAAAAAACAGCTCGGTTTCCCAATTGCCGTAGCCAGAATACCAAAGTCCTCACTTCCCTGAAGCCTCGCAATGTCGTTCTGATAACTCGTTTTACCGGGCTTGAAGTGCTCGGAAAAGGACCGCTCCAGCGCATCGGTGACACCGTCGTCGTTGAACAACAGGGGGAATTGTGTTGTTGGCGTAAGTGTGGGCTCAGAGGGATTGTTGGAAGCAGCTGCTTCAGCAGCTATTATGCGTTTTACGCTTGCTAGAACGCGTTCACGTGTTTGGGGCAGACCTGCACGCACGTCGATTTTCAGGTTGGCTTCCGAGGGAATGATGTTTTCGGCATCGCCAGCGTGGAAGGCCGAGACAGTTACAACGGCAAAGTCTAGGGGGTCAACCTCGCGCGACACAATGGACTGGAGACGCATGATCGTGGAAGCTGCTTGTAAGATGGGATCGATACTGCGATGGGGGGTTGAGGCGTGGGCTTGACGACCTGGGATGCGGAGTCTATGACATTGTTAGCTTGGAAAAGGCGACAAATAATTGTTTACGCACTGAAATCTGTCTGCTGAGCTGGCGATGAGACCGCGTTTTGTGCCAATTACTCCAGCTCTTTCAGGCATGACGTGTGCTCCGACTACGACATCTGGTTCTTTGACCTTTTTGTATAGACCATCATCACTGGACTTTATCAGCATCCTTTTAAAATTCGGTAGGGTCTCTCTGTACTTACACCATGTTCTGAGCTCCGCCTGCTCTCTCTTCGGCGGGCTGGAACACTAATATCAATTCTCCACTCCACTCGTTCTTGCATCTGACCAAGCACTCTGCAGCTGCGAGTAACGAAGTAATGTGCATGTCATGCCCACAGGCATGCATGACTGGCTTCTCAACACCATCGAGATCTTTCATGCGCGCTGTACTAGCGTACTGCAGTCCTGTCTTCTCTTCAACGGGCAGGGCATCAGTATCAGCACGCAAAAGGATGGTTTTCCCTGGACCATTTGAGAAACTGGCAGCAATTCCATGACCGCCGATGGAAGAGTGGATAGTGAACACTTTGAAGGTCTCGAGGTGTTTAACAATGGCATCTGCAGTGTTCTTTTCTTGAAATGAAAGCTCCGGGTGAGTGTGAAACCATTTGTCTGATACGCTATTAGTAATTACCTCAATTAGGCGAAAGGAATAGCTCCTACACAGTTCTTCATATGGACCCAGATCTGGCTGATGTGCTTTTACAGTCTCAGTTATGGAAGGCATATTTATTTGTACTAAAGGATTGTTTGTAGGAATAGTTTTACCTATGTGTTCTGCACGTTTGTGGACAAATATATATTATACGAAACGGTAGATGGTTCGGTAATGGACCTGCCTTTAACGCGTTAGTAAATGGTAGGATGGCGGAATTAACGAGCTTGATGTGAGGGGTTCCCGTCGGGTAACGCTGGAAATGACGTAATGAGGTGATAGGGAATAGCTTTCTTATCAGATATCCACATCTCTAACTGAAGAAGATAATTCCAAAGGTTCAACAGTTATGACAACAGCCGCAGTAATGGACAATAAGGAATCAAAGGCGCATCAAATGGCATGATGAATTTCTTTGTCATTCGTTCGTACTAATACAACAGTTCACAAAACTTCAGTTGAACAAGACCAATAACACCTAAAAAGAATCTGTATATCCAATGTGCAAAGGCGCTGTATGATAGAAAAAGATTAAGCAAGAGGTACAATCTCCAATCACCTGGTTAGTCCATCTAGAAAGACTCAAGCATATGCGTAACCTGCCGCTGAGAGTATCCTGATTATGTGCCTAATGCGGCAACTCATGACACTATCGTAATCAGGTGTCTTCTTCAATTCACAGCCAAGCTCATTGACGCGTGCTGAGATGAACGCAGGTAATGCTAGAGATAAAAATGTTAGTTCTCGCCACCTTGTGACTTGTTCATATCGTCGTTGTCCTTTTTAAGCTGCTCTTCAAGACTTCCCATGAGATCTGGTTCGGAAGGCTGTGGAGACGGAGCATCAGGTAGGGATTGTATTGACTCGGGTGCAGGTTCTGGTTCTGGTTCCGACTTCGGCTGCGGCTCTGGTAGGGTCTCAATTTTCGCTGCAGGCTCCTGTACTGGCTCCGGTACAGCTTCTGGTGCAGACTCCGATACAGGCTCTGGTATAGACTCAGGGGCAAGCGCGGGTACAGGCTCGTGGGCAGGTTCAGGCTTAGATTCAGGTTCAGGTTCAGGTTCAGACGCTACGGTCGGCGCTGGTGCAGCATCCGCTTCTATTGGGGGAGCTGGGGCTTCATTCGGAGTATCTTCGGGAGCGGTAACATCGGTGGTCACGGGAGTTGACACATGATTGAGCGAGTTTTGACGGCTGTGGGATATGGCAGATAACGGCATGTCTGGCGAGCTAGACTTGTCACGTCCTGGGGCTTCCTGGGTGATCTCGGGCGTCGAAGTTTTTACAGTTGCTGACTCGGTCTCTCCAACATTTTGCGATGGCTCAATGGCAGTTGGTAACGAGGGCGTTACCTCCATGGGAGTCCCCGCGTCAGCCTCGGCAAGAGGTGTTACAGAAGTCTCTACCGGAGGCTCTGTTGGGACAATTATAGAAGATTCCACGACGGGTTCACTTGGGGCTGCTTCCGGAGTATCTGAGATATCCATCGCAGATGTACTGGGCGGTGCGGCTGATGATCGCAGGGGTGTTGCGGGTGTTGAGGTACGTTCCATGTCATGATCCTCATCTTCAGAACCCTCTTCACCAGAGCCCTCCTCGTCTTGGCCTCCGGCATCAGCCATTGGCGTATCTCCACCATCTGAAGGTGCCACAGATCCCTCTTCTCGTTTTAAGCCGGGTACTTCGAGTGCGTCACCACCAGCAGTCGATGCCGGGGTCCCTTGCTCTGCCGCACCTTCGGCAAAGACAACCTTCTTCTTGCCTCTACCCGGACCGCCACGCTTGACTTTCTTGGGAGGGGGTGGCCGTCTCCTGGGAGGTGTTTGTTGCACAACGTCGTTAGCTACAACGATTCCTTCGGCGTTCACGACACCAATGCCCTCGACGATCGTTCCCGGTGCAGCAGTAGCTGGTGCGACTTCGATAGCAGCATCTGTAGGTTGCACTTCCCCCTCCACTGACTGCCCTTCTGGAACAAGGACCTTGTAGACAGCTACATTGCCTTCTGCGTCGAGCTTCTTCACTTTTGTCTCACGTAGCACAGGCTGTGCGACTTGGGCGCTGACATATGGCGATGGGAGACCCTTCCTTCTCTTGGCAAGATATTCTGGCTCTGGACCTTCTAAGTGGCGTGCTACCTTGACGTACTTCTTGACGGTGAATCCGGTACGAATCTCTTTAGTCTCTTCTTCTTCATCTTTCATCTCATTGTCTTCTTCTGGTGGCGCTGGGGGTTTGTAAAGCTTTCCAGACCGAGCAGCTCGAAGGAGCTGTTGAGAATGTTCCGGGAGCATATGGGAATCCCGAGGCATTGGTAATTCAGGCCAAGCATCCTTGTCCAGGGGCTTGTTCTCCGCAGAATGTGGTTCAATAGTAATTTCAGCTTCTCGATATTGGGTAATAGGCAGTCCTTCCAGCACATTATGCTCTATCTGCCCACGCCCCGACCTGTTGGAGCGGTCTCTGTTCCGAAACTAGTCACGTGATGTTAGCATTGGGACCCGGTGAAATCATCATATCTGTGGCATTGCATAGTGGAAAGGAGTGTGTCTGGTATTATGAGTGGGTGCGTCAATCATGTGCCAGTACAGTGGACGACCCTGCATTTAGAGTCCATTCGTCATCATCTGTTGACGAATGCCTAGATTGAAGCGCGGACTTCCTTTTTCGGCCCATGCCTCATAGCAAATGGTGTTGGTTTAGAAATGAAGGCATGATGATGCTGTATGCGATGCGCGCCGCAAGAAGAGCGCCTTGCGCACGCGTTCAAATACGGCAAGGATGCGGGCTCGCGAACACAGAGCGCAGGTGCATCTCTATCAATAACGCAAAGAAATGACGTACCGGAGCCATAGTGATATGCGACTGCCTCGAGAGACAGGCGGTGAAGGTTGGATTGATGTTGGCGCAATGCGGCGAGAAGTCGCGATGCGTGAAGGGGAGGCGCGTCGGTTTGCGACCTGGAAGGTGCAACCGTGCGTCACTATACCAAATCCGGTTAGCTTCCCACCCCGGCCTGCTTGATGGTGAAGTTATCATACATCAATTCCTGTTAGTATGAGAATAGTAACTTAT